TCATCCAATCATGAGAGGACAAAGTCAACACCCATTCTGGATACTCCTCCCCCCTCACTATGGAGAACAAAATGTTAAAAGGTTAGGATATTTATGTAGTTACTTACCAAGCATGTTTAAACTATATTAAAGTAAGCAAAATATCTTTACAATCCCCAAGGCATGTCACAACTTTTGAGCACCCCTAAGGTTTGGAAATTGAAAGTTGAAAGATTTGACACGTCCTATGTAGGATGCTACTAGGCCAGTGATGGCGAACCTTTTTTGGCTTGCGTGCCATAAGGAGGGGGGAGCGCAGGGGGGTCATGCATGTGCGTGCTGCACCCATAATGGAACATGCGACCCCCCCAGTGCGTATGCGTGCATGAGAGGCGCTCCCTCCCATTTTTCCATGCTTTTTTCACCCTCCCCAGGTTCCAGAGGCAAAAACAGTCCCCCTCCCCCCCGGAGGCCCTCTAGAGGCTTCAGGGACCTTCAGGAGGCTTCCCTGAAGCCTCCGGAGGGCTTAAACAGACCCTACGAGCAAACCGGAAGTCTGTTCCCGAATGTCCGGTTTGCTCATAGGTCCGGGTTTTTTGCGCTCCTGAGGCTTCAGGGAAGCTCCTAAATCCTCCGGAGGGCCTCCGGAGTAGGGGGAGGGGAGGTTCTTCTCGCCCTCCCCAGGCTCCTATAAAGCCTCTGGAGCCTGGGGAGGGCAAAAAATGTCTTTAAAAAAGGCTGAACTCAGCTGGCCAGTGCGCACATGTGTGCTGGCCAGCTGACAGAGCAATGCTTTGCGTGCCCTGACAAATGGCTCCGCGTGCCACCTGTGGCACACGTGCCATAGGTTCGCCCTCCGATACTAGGCAAATGCTTTGAATTGAATGGCTTGGGATAGGAGGATCCAGACTCAAAAACAATACAATTTAAACGTAATTAAATTAAAATCCAATCACTATCCAATACTGGAATAAATTTCTAATACTGATTCCCTTTCATTTGTACCCATTTGACTCTGGCATTTCACACACAAGAAAAACTTCCTTCTATCTTTTAGGTTTTACATTTACTGCATATCCAGGAAATGTATCTAAAGAACATGCTTTTAATGTATTTCTGGGACTCCCGCATAGTCCCAAATAATGACATTTTCAACCGGATGCATATGTTCTCTCCTTTTATACTGCTAACACAAAAACACTACAAAAAGTCACCCTGCACAAGCAACAGACTGCATTCAATATGCAGATGTTAGAGAGAGAGCTGGCATAGTGTACAATATTGAGGGAAAGGCTGTGACCATCTCTACTCTACCTACCATAGATAAGCACTAAGTGCAGACTAGCATGCAAAGAAGTATCAGTAAAAACATATCAATATCCACTCATCTATTTATTTCGATTCTGATTATGTTCCTCCTAATCATTGGTATCTATCAATGAAAGCTGATTTGCAGTTTCATTTTTATGGAGCTCAGTGGAGTTTTCTTCACTTCTCTAAAATCTAAGTTTTATAGGAGAGGAGGAAGAGGAAGAGAGCATTCAGTTACAATTCAGAAGTTGACATTCTGCCTCAAAATGCCAAGCAGAATCCACGTATAGAATTTCAGAAAACAAAAGTTAATGTAATCCTTTTAGTATGGTTCCATCTGTTGATTCAATCGACCAAAAATTGCGGGATTCAACCTCTGCTGTAGACCCAAATTTTAAAGAGTCATAGCCTCGGCCTTCTGCATGACTTACTTTTTTCCATCTTCATACATGCACATGCCAAACATCTTTGTGCCAGTCTCCTGACATCTTCGCATCATGAGTCGATAGCGAGGTTCAAACACATGCAGAGGACATACAAGACCTGGAAATGAAATGGTGCACACAAAGATGGGGATATTCTTGTTTAGGCTGTAAAAGAAAAAGGGGGGGAAAGACCATGATCAACAAAAGTACTACTAGGAACTTGAAAAATCAACAGCAGGATTTCAGAGTAGAACATACCACTGGATAACTTTTATGCATGCACAGAAGGATATGAACCCTCCATGCCTGTTCAAAAAGATACAAATGCATGTGGACCAGTGGTGGGTTACAACCGGTATGCCCCAGTATGGGCGTACAGGTGCCTTCCGGGAGCACCAGGTACCGTTCCAGTATAGTGCTCCGGAGGGCCCACCCGCCCGCCCTGTTGCACCTTACTGGTTGCAACAGAATCCGAAACCCACCACTGATGTGGACTATTGAACCTACCAAGAAGCCAGATATTTATTAGATTTGCAGGCCCATTTTATTCCATGAACTCTAAAGAACTACCAAAAGTCATGTTCTATAAATGCATCTAGTTCATCTGTCCGTTCTAGCATTGTTCAGGACATTCATCAACACTGGAACCCTACACTGATAGAGAGCTACACTTCTCTGAATGTGTTTATTCAACCTTGTAAGTATTCCTGGAATAAGATGTAGGAAGACATTGCCATTAAAACCTTCATATCAGATTACAGAAGACACAACAGAGAAAAAGGCTTAAAGGCATGATAATGTGAGGCACTCATTATAGAGCAAGGGTGGTGAATGGGTTCCACCACAAATCCGTGAAGCCCTTATCCGCGGAGACATAAGCGCGAAGACTAATTCGCACCGTTTGAAGCGCTAAG